TTGATACACACTTCTTCATTGATACACACTTCTTCATTGTACACACTTCTTCATTTTGATACACACTTTCTTCATTGATACACACTTCATCATTGATTTCACACTTCTTCATTGATACACACTTCACATTCATTCTTCATTACACACTGATCACACTTCTTCATTGATGGATACACACTTCTTTCATTGATACACACTTCATTTGATACACACTTCTTCACTGATTCACACTTCTTCATTGATTTCACACTTCTTCATTGATTCACACTTCTTCATTGATTCACACTTCTTCATTGATACACACTTCTTCACTGATACACACTTCTTCATTGATACACACTTCTTCATTGATACACACTTCTTCATTGATACACACTTCTTCATTGCATTCCACACACTTCTTCATTGATTCACACTTCTTCATTGATGATACACACTTCATTTGATTCACACTTCTTCATTGATTCACACTTCTTCACACTTCATTTCATACACACTTCTTCATTGATACACACTTCTTCATTGATTCACACTTCTTCACACTTCTTCATTCACACTTCTTCATTGATACACACTTCATCACACACTTCTTCATTGATTCACATTCTTCATTGATTCACACTTCTTCATTGATACACACTTCTTCATTGATACACACTTCTTCATTGATACACACGTCTTCATTGATACACACTTCTTCATTGATACACACTTCTTCATTGATACACACTCTTCATTGATTCACACTTCTTCATTGATACACATTCTTCATTGATTCACACTTCTTCATTGATTCACACTTCTCATTGATTCACCACTCTTCATTGATACACACTTCTTCATTGATACACACTTCTTCATTGATTCACACTTCTTCATTTGATACACACTTCTTCATTGATACACACTTCTTCATTGATACACACTTCTTCATTGATACACCTTCATTGATTCACACTTCTTCATTGATACACACTTCTTCATTGATTCACACTTCTTCATTGATTCACACTTCTTCATTGATTTCACACTTCTTCATTGATTTCTTCATTGATTCACACTTCTCATTGATTCACACTTCTTCATTGATTCACACTTCTTCATTGATTCACACTTCTTCATGATACACACTTCTTCATTGATACACACTTCTTCATTGATACACACTTCTTCATTGATTCACACTTCTTCATTGATTCACACTTCTTCATTGATTCACACTTCTTCATTGATTTCTTCATTGATTCACACTTCTTCATTGATTCACACTTCTTCATTGATACACACTTCTTCATTGATACACACTTTCTTCATTGATACACACGTCTTCATTGATACACACTTCTTCAGTGATTCACACTTCTTCATTGATACACACTTCTTCATTGATACACACTTCTTCATTGATTACACACTTCTTCATTGATTCACACTTCTTCATTGATACACACTTCTTCATTGATACACACTTCTTCATTACACACTTCTTCATTGATTCACACTTCTTCATTGATACACACTTCTTCATTGATTCACACTTCTTATTGATTCACACTTCTTCATTGATACCACTTCTTCACACACTTCTTCATTGATACACACTTCTTCATTGAACACACTTCTTCATTGATCACTTCTTCATGATTTCTTCACTTGATACACACTTCTTCATTGATTCACACTTCTTCATTGATACACACTTCTTCATTGATTCACACTTCTTCATTGATACACACTTCTTCATTGATTCACACTTCTTCATTGATTCACACTTCTTCATTGATACACACTTCTTCACACTTCTTCATTGATTCACATGTCTTCATTGATACAAACTTCTTCATTTATTCACACTTCTTCATTGATCACACTTCACACACTTCTTCATTGATTCACACTTCTTCATGATACACACTTCTTCATTGATTCACACTTCTTCATTGATACACACTTCATTGATACACTTCTTCTTGATCACACTTCTTCATTGATACACACTTCATTGATACACACTGATTCACACTTCTTCATTGATTCACACTTCTTCATTGATACACACTTCTTCATTGATGATACATTCTTCATTGATTCACACTTCTTCATTGAT